AAAAATCAGACCTGCATCAAATCCCACCAAACCAACGAGTTTTTGAAGTTCATCTGCTTGCAGGATGTGATGGTTTTTCTGACAGGGAGGGGCTTAGAATACCTACGGGTCTGGAAGGGAAACATAAAGCATTGGGCAAGATCCAGCCCTGTCTGTGTGGGGTGAATTTTACCTTTTCCTTATTGGTCCCAGTGCCTTTGGGGCCCAGAAGGCAAGAACTGAAATTATCTGATCCAGAGGATGGGAACTCTTTCTCACCATGTTGTCATTTATATGTTTTTCTTCTCCTGGATTGCTTCAACACAATAAGTCATGCTAGATTATCCAGGTTGATTGACTGACGATTTGACAGGTCCCCCAGAAAGGCTGCATCTCCTCAGTGTAAGTCAGGATGCAGGCCACTGGCTGGAGTGCTCCTCCCCGTGCAAGGGTGTAGAACGTGGTACATCATTTTCAGCCCTACAGCTCCTCGCTCTCAGCTGCACCCCTACATTGGTCACAGCTGAAAGAATGGCATTCTCGGTACAGCCAGCAGGGTCACCTCTTCCTGAAGCAGCAGGCGCGGGAGTAGTCTTGGGAGAAATGCTGGATGCATGGGGGAAAACACAACCACACTGCTAGCTAAGGGCCTGAAAATCAGCAGTTGAAATGGCCAAAGAGAAAAGAGAGCTCTTCCCTCTGAGATTCAGATAGATGAAGAAGAAGAGACCTGGGGAGTTATTGGAAAACAATGACCTGCTTCCTGCCAATCTGTATCCCTTGACAGAGCAGAAATAATTACAGATACTGTAGACATATGTGGCATTATGTAAAGTGTTTGAAATTATACTGCTTAACAATGCTTCCTGATGTGGCCCTTCATGGGGCCAGGGAGCCCATCTGGGTCAGCTGGAAACAGAGCAGGGGCATAGTGATGTCTGCAGAAGTCCCTTCCACTGGGCCATTTTCTAAACCAAGGGAACTCACTCTGGCCACAAAAAGGAAACACAAAACAAACGACAAGAGTTGATACTGACTTAGTTCCTGCTGAATGTTTAGCATGTCATTTACATAGTTGTCTTAGCAGAGTAAGCCTACATATTTTATTTGAAGATTTTTATAGTTTGCCTTGTAGAAGCCAAAAGCAGGGTCAGCACTGTAGATTGGAATCAATTCAGTGGAGGAAAATAAAGCTTTGGAATATATTTTGTCTTCTCTGAGCACGTAGCAGGCATTAGCAATAATGGGAGCCCTGTCTGCACATGGAGAGGAAACATGTACCACTTAGATTCCCAGCCATCCTTGCCTGGGGATGTGCAGCCCCAGGACTTTCACAGTGGGGGTGACAATTCTGGATTTATCCCAATTTCTTTTTTTTGGTACCAGAGATCGAACTCGGGTCCTTGCCCTTGCACAGCGGGCGGTGAAACCACTGAGCTAAATCCCCGGCCCCATTAGATTTTTTTTTTTTTGGTATCTGGGATCGAACTCGGGTCCTTGCACTTGCACAGCAGGTGGCAAAGCCACTGAGCTAAATCCCTGGCCCTGTCCTGTGTTTCTTTCCCCACCGAAGCCCTGGAACAGCTCTCTGGGGCAGAGGGAGTTGGATCTGTTCCTTCACAGCTTGGTGGTCAGATGCCCAGGACCACCACCCTCCTATTCAGTGCCTCACAGGCTGAGGCACCAGTTGTCCACGTGGGTGGGGAGTTGGGGGTTGGGTGGGGGGAGGTTCTCAGTACCTTGACCTCAGCCCTATGGCAGGGGCTTAGCACCTCAGAACAGCCTGGAATCCTCTCTTTCGGAAGCCAGGAAGGGCCAGCCTGAGGCACCCTGCACCCTCCCCACTTCGGCCAGCCTTCAGCACCGCCTATCACCATTTGAATGACAGTTGTCAGCCTGCAGCGCTTTCCTCCTTTAAACTCTGAGCTGCAGAGCCTGAGAGGTGAGGCTCTTGGGGCTGGATCTGCAGAGGCCCCCCAGGCCCCAGAAGGGTGTACTCAACAGGGTGTGGCCTCCATGCTGGGACCAGCACGCCCACCCCGGCCTCCCTCCTTTGGCTTCCCTGAACTAGATGCCCTAGGCTGGTGTCCAGGTGGCTTCTCCCTTACGCCAGGGGCGGGGCCGTGTGCAGCTGACAATGGAAGTGGAATGTTTGCTATTCTGCATTCCCGGGAGTCTTCCCCGACCTCACCTCCCTCTCCCACATCATCATTTAAATCGCAGCAGTGAGGGCCAAAGATACAGACTTCAGAGGAAGCCGGAGCAGGCAAGGTCCAGGATAATGCAGAGTTCTGCTACCCAAATTTCATGCATCGAGGGCTGGCTTTAGGGGAGAAAGGAGGACACAGAAGGGGGTGAGTGAGAAGGGAGCATGTTCCTTCCTTACTGAGACCTTTCTTTTTTTTTGGTACCGGGATCAAACTTGGGTCCTTCCGCCTGCTGTGCAAGCGGCGAAACTACTGAGCTAAATCGCCCGCCCTGACCTTTCTGGTAAGCTGACAGCTACG